AGTGATAAAGGATTTCTGTTGCTCAAAATGGAAATACTTTCATCAACTCTCAGCAGCACGAATCCTCAGCAAAACGGAGTAGCCGAAAGAAGAAATAGACTCTAAAAGAAGACAGCACGAACATGATCTCACACTAGGTCTACCAAAGAGATTTGGGCTGAAGCCATAAACACCGCATGCTATACACAGAACAGATCCTTAATCAACAAGTCTCACAACAAAAACACCATATGAGCTATGGAAAGGTAAGACTCCAAATATTGGATATTTTCATGTTTTTGGTTGCAGGTGCTTTATTCACAACAATGGCAAAAGCTATCTTAAAGCATTTGACGAAAGAGCTGACGAAGGATTATTCATGGGATATTCATCCATGAGCAAAGCATTCAGAGTTCTGAACAAGCGAACAAAGGTTATCGAAGAATCCATACACGTCAAATTGATGAACAATCTGAGAAAATCCTTCTGGATACAAGATACCTGTTATCCCAGCTACAAAATGCTCAGAAATCCGTAGATGAAGACATCTCAGACGAAGAAGACTTACTTTCGTCCTACATGAAGTATCAGCCGAAAGTACCAGAACCCGAAATGTCATCTGAACAAGCAAATGGAAATCAACCTATCAATCCTTCTAGCAACGCACCATCTGAACCAATGATCTACATAGACCTCCCCTATATCCCAGAGATGGATACTCAGCCTTCTCAAGATGTCTTTGAGCCAGATCTTAGATGGTTGAAAGATCATCCACCAGATCAAGTTATTGAGATGTTCAAGAAGGTGTAAGAACAAGAGCGTCATTACACGAAAGTATGATGGCATGCTTCTTATCCCAAATAGAGCCGAAATCTGTGGATGAAGCTTTATGTGATCCTGACTGGGTAATAGCTATGCAAGAAGAACTTCATCAATTTGAACGAAATGAAGTATGGGAACTAGTACCAAGACCATCACATCAAAATGTCATTGGAACTAAATGGGTTTTTAGAAACAAAATGAGTGAAGATGGACTCATTGTTAGGAACAAAGCTCGCCTTGTGGCTAAAGGATATTGTCAGGAGGAAGGTATTGATTTTGATGAGACCTTCGCCCCCGTGGCCAGATTGGAAGCTATACGAATATTCTTAGCTTTTGGCAGCTTACAAAAAATTTCAAAGTCTATCAAATGGATGTCAAAAGCGCCTTCCTGAATGGACTTCTTGAAGAAGAAGTATATGTTGAACAACCTCCTGGTTTTGCTATCAACAATAACCTCGAAAAGGTGTACCACCTTAAGAAAGCTCTCTACGGTTTGAAACAAGCTCCACGAGCTTGGTATGATACACTATCATGTTTTCTAATCAATCGTGGCTTCACGAAAGGAGTGGTTGACAAAACACTCTTTCATATAAAGGATAATGATCATATCCTACTGGTACAAATATATGTTGACGATATTATCTTTGGAAGCACGAATCCAGATCTATGTGAAAAATTCTCCAATCTCATGAAAGGAAAATTTGAAATGAGTATGATGGGAGAACTGAATTATTTTCTAGGCTTACAAGTCAAACAATGTCCTGATGGGATATTTATAAACCAAGCCAAATACACAAAAGATCTGATCCGAAAGTTTGGCATTGATGGAAAAAGTTCCGTCAAAATACCTATGAGTACATCCCTTAGGATGGACATTGACAATGAAGGAAAGGAAGTTGATCAGAAAAATTTTCGTGGTATTATTGGCTCTCTTCTATACCTAACAGCAAGTAGACCCGACATCTCGTTTGCTGTTGGTGTATGCGCTCGCTTTCAGGCTAAACCGAAAGAAAGTCACCTGAGTGCAACTAAAAGGATATTGCGATATCTTAAGGGCACACAAAATGTCGGCCTCTGGTATCCGAAAGAAGGATCATTTGATCTAATAGGATACTCAGATGCAGACTTCGCAGGTTGTCGAATCGATCGAAAAAGTACCTCGGGAACATGTCAGTTCCTAGGAGGAAGACTTGTGTCTTGGTTTAGCAAGAAACAACATTCCATTGCTACTAGTACGGCTGAGGCCGAATACATAGCAGCTGGAAGTTGTTGTGCTCAAATCTTATGGATGAGACATCAATTAAGAGACTATGGGGTAAATGCCCAAGAAGTGAGCATTAAGTGTGATAATACAAGTGCTATAGCAATCACACACAATCCAGTTCTACACTCTCGGACCAAGCACATTGATATCAAGTATCATTTTATTCGTGATCATGTTGAAAAGAAAGATATTGCTCTCGAATATGTTAATACCGATGATCAATTGGCAGATATACTCACTAAACCTCTGAGTGAGACAAGATTCTCTCTATTAAGGCATGAGATCGGAATGATTGAAATGACCTAATATGTGATGTTACTTCACTATGCTTCATAATAAATCTCCATATCTTTTCATGTACCTTTGTTTTCGTGTCTCACACGCAAGAAAGTGTCAGTATCCAAAAGATTTTGTATAGATCTCCACGACACTTATTTGCCTATAAAATAGTTTTGCCATACATAAGACACACTCACTTCTTTCTAAGTAACAGGATTGCAGGTATGAACAAAGAGAAAGGAAAAATGGACGAAGCAGAAAAGAGGGCTACCCGTCTGAAGCATCACTTACAGGAAGCAAACAAGCTCCCTAATGCCACCATCATAAGCTTGAAAGAAGATGGAGAGATGATCAATGTAACCTACTCAATGCCTAACCCCGAAAAAGAGGCGCTTGACACTCTTGTCAACGAATCTAGGGCCAAAAGGAGGTATCGTCTGGAACTAGCCAGTCAGGAGGCCTATGAAAGAATCATGATGATGAAGAGCTCCAACAAAGACTCTTCATCGACACCAACCTCTCAATGGTATCCCTTTCCTGAAGTTCCCCCACCCAATGTTCAATCCTATGAGGATTTCTCAAGGGTCCACTCTCGGGTCACAGATCAGCCACCCGAACCCACTCTCTCGCTAGAAGAGTTGGATGAATACGCCAAAACAACAAATCTGGCTGATGTGACTGATGAGTTGACCCGATTGGAACTTCACGTACCCTATCGTTTTCTTTGAACCGAAGTAAGTTGAGCTTTTTATGTTTAAGTCTCTCTCTCTCTCTATCCTGTATGTTCTGATGGCTATGTTATCCAAATAAATGCATTGCATAAGTTCTTATGATTTCGGATCACAGGAAGGTTTACTGTTATGTGCATTTATTGCAAGTTATTTTTTGGTCAAAAGAATTCAAAAATTCATTATGAATTTGTTGAATGCTAAGCACGTTGGAACTCAGGCCGTACAGGGAATCAAAATTTCAGTCTAAACTGAAATCAGCCTTATCTTGAACACTGTAATGAGCATTGATTGCTATATTGACGGATTTACGGATAAGCCCCTCAATCCTTGGCTATAAAAAGAGAGAGAATTTCACACAATTCTCACCATCCTCTCTCTCTCTCTCAATGGCACCTAAGAAAAGGTTCACAAGAAATGACTCTCGCAAGCTCCTAGAGGCCTCTAGGCGCTTCAGGGAGGAGCAAGGTGACTTATATCCAGGCAATAGTCCTAATGTTCCTATCAATCTCGTCTCTGATTCAGACTCATCGTTTCAATACGATGATATGGCTGGATTCATCGTTGAATCAGAGAATGAAGAAAAGATCCCAAAAGAATGGATTGACAAGGACTACATGGCCTTTCTGGCACAAGAAAATTGGGAAGAAAAGTATGACAAAGATGATGAGGCTGAGTCCTCTACTGGTTCCAACTTTCCGCGCTATAAAAGATGGTATAGGGAAGTGTTTGGAAGGGTGAAGAAAGATAAGCCTGAATGTTCTTCATCCAAGAAGGTTGAGAGGAAGAAAAAGTGATTTTCTGAAAATCATCATCTATGTTTATGTATCTTCTCTTCTCGTTTGTTGAATAAAAGCTTGCCTATCTATGTGCTAATAAGATGTAATGTCTTATCTGTGTAACCTTGCTGACAGTCTTAGAAGTTTGTTCTGATCGAATCTTACTCGAACCTTTCGGGTAACAATGATGATTGTTCAGCATGAATCTCTCGGGCAACTTTATGTGCGTCTTGTGAAATTCTGAACAACATTCGGGTTTTTGACTCGTTCTCAAGACGCTATCTCCTCTTGAATCTAAACCGTTCATATAGTTTCATTGGGATCATATGGCCGAGAAAATCGCCTCTATCCCACTAGTCTGACAGGACAAAGACGTGCATTTAATGCACCACTCAGCACTTGAGTGCTTTTTCTCTCTCCTCATTAAATGAGGGAATGATCGTTTCAGATCTGTACACGTTCTTATCACGTAACCATGATGATCAGTTACCTTTTGAGGAAGAAGAACCGCTGAATTTTTTTAAAAAAAAAAAAAAAATTTTGAATAAGTTTCCTTATTGGGCTGATTTAAGGGCACCAACCCGGAGCTTTATAAATCCTGCTCAAACCTTCATTCCGTTTTTTTTTACATCTCTCAACTTTTCATCCCTTCCTCTCAAAAATCTCTAGTCAAGCTTTCTATCATCAATGGCGGCTCCTTCCGAAAAGAACCCAGAGAACCCTGAACCATCATCCACTCCAGTAATACCAAGCTTTCCCACCGAAGACATAGAGTTTATCAAGTCCAGAATTCCATTTATCGTCGGAGGAAGTATGTGGGACGAAGAAGGGTTTCGTAAGTATGTCTTGGATACAGCCTTTGGAGAACGGATAATCGCTCTTTTATTAGAAACATGTTTATTTGGTTTGGTAACTCACCGCTATGATGAATGGTACCCTCTTGATGTTACTCAGTTTTATTTGAATGCTTATGTGGCTTCTGATTTCTCAAGCATATCTTCAAGAGTTAATAAACATCACATTGTGTTTATTGCTGAGGATATTCGATCAGCTTTTGGGTTTCCCAGACGAGATGAGTCCTACAAATCCAATCTGGTATTTTATCATCTGGATCCGGAGGACTTCTATGAATCCATACGACACAAGGAGGCACCTTCCAAAGATAAAATCTTCTGGCCCCTCAAGAAAAAATGGTTCCGGTTGGATTATGAGTTTGCAGTAGACATCTTCAACAAGATTGTGGACCACAAGACTTCTGGCACAGATGATGTCACAAGGGAAAAACTGAAAATGCTGCACGCTTTTCTTCATGCGCATAAGGTTGATTGGTCCAAAATCATTTTCCACAACATCGCTCACACCATCACATTCAATCGCAAGAGTCCTGGAGACATTGCAAAGAAGATGGGCTTCGGTTTCATTATAAGCCATCTTCTTGCCACAAAAGGAGTGACTCTACGTGCTGGTGCTCCACCTGGTCAAAAGGTTTGTCACATGAAACACAAACCATCTGGATATGACAAACAGAAGGCATTGGAATTGGGCATTCCTCTTGAACCCAATCTACCCAAAGGGAAGTCCAAACGAAAGTTAAAAACCCCCAAAGAAGACGAAGAAGCTCAACCAAAACCAAAACGGCAGAAACAAGAAAAACCCTCTTCTCGGGTTAAGACTCAAAAGACGAACACCACCCAATCAAAGACGAAAGATGATCCTTCTCTCGAAACCTTGATAGTGCAGAACTCCTCTGAAGATGATGATGATCAACCTCTCATTCGTCTAAGCAAACGAAGTCGAATGAGATCTGTTCAAATTCGGGAACCCTTGTCAAAAGAAGCAACATCACAGGGGGAAGATATTTCGAAAGCAGCTACCTCTGAGGGGGAACTGAAAAACTTTCTGCCCGAAAGAAGTCCTGTTGCTCACAAATCCATCAATTCGAATGCATCTCCTGTTCCTCATCCACAAGAGCCTATCCTAGCGGAGCAACTCCTACGAGAGTTGACTCAAGACCCTGCTACTGTAGAAATGGAGGGAAGATGTCAAAGTTTTCCACAAGAGCCGGGCTCTCCAGAAAACATCCCGAAAGCAGCCTCAGATGCTACAACTGATGCTCATTCTCTCCCACAAGAACCTACTATTGCAGAGCAGGTAATTCTGACACAAGAACCTGCACTAGTAGACGAGATAACAGCTGCTCAAACATCTTTTACCCCGAAACCATCTGCTCGTCAATCTTCTCCAGACCAGTACACCCTTGATAAATCTCTCAGAGAATCGATTGAAAGAGATTACAACCGAGTTCTACAATGGCACAAGTGGCGCACGGCACCTCTCAGAATCTTTCTCGAAACTTTTGAAGCCATGATCGACGAAGAAGAATTCGCACTTCAATGGCTTGAAACTCAGGACGTCACAAAGGCTGTGCGAATTGAGGAGATCCACCGAGTGTACTCTTATAGAATAACTCATCGATCTCTCGGGAAGGAAAAAGCTCCTTTGGTAGTTCCTCTTCATAAACCTCCGATGGATCCAGCAACTGAAGCCGAATTGAAACAACTTCGCTACATCATGTTGCTATCCAAAATTAAAGCCCAAATGGCAGAAGATCATCCTCGAGATCCCAAAGGAAGTGCTAGTGGAACGAAAGATGTTCATGGCAACGAAATCGAAGAAGAGGATGAAGAAGAAAATGAAGAAGAAAGTGAAGAAGAAAGTGAAGACGAGAGCAATGAAGAAGAGAATGAAGATGATGACAATGATGATGATGAAACAGACAACAGTAGTACTGATGATGATAATGATGATGATAATAATCAACAAGGAGGAGAAGGTGCTAAAAAAGAAGAACCAGAAGATAGCCACACTATCTTGGTCGAAACGGACTATGCTAACTGCCCACAAAGACCACCTCTCTTGAAAATACCATCTGAAGACGAAGACTCGGATGAAGCATCCAGTAAAAATCCAGTTCACTCATCTCGTGCTATTCAACTACATCATAATCTTCCAGTTCATGAGGACAAAAAGGAAGCCTCACCTGAACCTGGCCACTCGATGCATGGTGGAAATCCGGAAGCACCACATCATGACGAACACAGGAACTCTTCTCCAACACACATTGAGGACGATTCTATCGCTGAGTCCCCACGGATCATTATGAACCTCATGCGAGAAACTGTTCATTCAGCTGAACTGATTCACAAGCAATATCTCGCCCTAAGGGAGAAGGACACGAGAGTATTGAATGACTTGTGTCAAAAAGTCAATCTACTCCTTGATGTACAATCTCAACCACAGCAACCGAATTCTTCTCACGACAAAACTCTTAAGCAATTGGTGAAAAGAGTTTCTGATCTTGAAGAAAGTTCAAACAAAGTCGCTAGACAGCAACACGAGATTAAGCATTCTCATTATGGTCTCAAGGAACGTGTTGACTTAGCTTGTACCAAGATTGACACTTATCAAGACAATTCCTATCAACTTGGTGAATATGCTCTTCAGATTCTAGGGTATGCTCAAGACATCCTGCTTGCAATCAGACAAATCCCCTTTGTACCTCCCTCTGCCTGCGCTGATGATGCCAAAAAGGGGGAAAATAGGGATAATGACAGAGATAAGGATGATGACAACCAACCAAGAAGGGATAACACGAAAGAAAGATCTTCAGAAAAGCGAGTCTCTCCTCACAAAGTCTCGGGTCACTCTCATCCACCTAAGTCTCGTGGACAGTCTCATGATCAAAGACGCTATGGTCGCACTCAAGACAGACCTCACAAGGCTCGACAATCTTTCGGCTCTGAAGCCAAATATCTCTTCACAGGACTGTCAAGAAGAGATCAAGCAAGTCTAAGACAAAGGCTCATGAAAAATACCTCAGTTACCATGGATGGCATTGGAAACTTCGTGGACTATGTCCCATACGAAGAAGGAAGCGGTAAAAGGTTTGAAGGTTGCAACAATCCCATCTGGTTGAAGAAGAAAGACAACCACACAAGGCAAAACTACATGAGCACTCAGAACGAAAGGATTAAAAGACAAAACAAGGAGTTGTGGGAAAAACACGATGAAGAGATCAGGAGAAGAGATGATGAAGCTAGAGAAAGAGAAAGGATTAAGAATCTCATCAAAGATCTATCAAATGTGACCAAAGACTCTCCTGATAATGTCACGTACAATGCAGCTTTCAAAGTGCATAAAGAGTCAGGCAAGAGTTATCAAGAAGGAATGAATTCGTTTGAACTAATCTCTTGGTGGAAGTCTGGAGTAGTGGAAGGCAACAACATTCGAGAAGCCTATAACAATTACACGAGTCTAAACATCAAAGGAGGATATGAAGAGCTCGTCAGAAACAATTCAATCAGGACTTTCAGAGCAAGAATCAACGAAAAGATAGACTACGAGAGAACACAAAGAAGACAGGAAGAGAAGGACAATCAAGAAAGAAAGAAGGAAGCTCAGCAAAAGTTGAATCTTTTAGAAATGTAAGTTATCCTTTATTTTGATTTATTTTGACAGAGTTTTTGTAATGACTTTATCTGAATATCTATGAAACTCTCATTGTCACACATCTCGTGTCACTTGTCTGAGTTAAAAAGTCCTTGTCTTTATTTCTGCTGCTTCTTCGTAGAAAATACTTGTAAACTCTCGATAATGGCTGTGTTTTTAATAGAATTATCCTTAAGGAGCACCTTTTCAGCCTTATAAGAAGAGTATAGGTTTTGGCATCATCAAAAAGGGGGAAATTGTTAGGAACCTTGTATTAGGATTTTGATGATACCAATGTAATATAGAAAGTAGACCCCTATCTCTTACGTTTTTCTTGTATCACTACTTTCGTTCTAGACGAAAGATGCCATAACTCATATGTAATTCGTGTTAAGCTAGAACAAACACACGAAAAGAGTTATGAATAGAAGATAGGCTGATCAAGACGAAAGAAGACTCCACAGCAACGAAAGAAGGAGTTGTCATTAAGAAGACAGTTCTTTTCAACAAGTATTCTTCTTCTCATCAACTAGAAGAATGTTCTACCTGTCTGATTTGACAACATCCTAGGACAATAAGGACCTCAACTCATGGGACACGCTATCCAAAGAGCATTTAATGAAGTCGTACTATCTCTGGAGCTAGAAGACAAAAGTCATCAGATCCTCCATACCTTCAACGGCTACATAGTACAAATCCTTTAATGGAGCATTAAATGCATGAGGCTCCATGGTCCTTGTCCAACAGATAAAAGGTTTAAAAAATTCATTTCCCTCCAACGGATGAATTTTCATCACCTATATAAACCAACCTTCATCAACTAAGAAGGTGCTGGTTCATTTTATCACTCTACTTACTCTCTTGCAAAAAGCTCTTAAAAGTGAACAAATCTCAAAGCTTTTTGCGAACCAACTAGTTAAGGTGTTAAGGCATTTGAAGTAGATCACCCATCACTGCCCTACATCTTGTAAGAAGTCTTGCACTCTTGAAGCAATCATCCCACACCAACAAGACTTCACAGTTGGAGGAATCAAGAAATACTTTCTCACCAACCTCAACTTAGAAGAAGAAGTTGATAGAGGCAGAGTAAACTCTCGGAGTTGAAAAACCTTCAAAGGCTGTCCGGCTTAGTGATCAAGGAAGTCTTTGTGTATTTGTACTAAAGAAGTGATAGTGCAATCCTTCCAGCAGTTGTGGAAGAAGAGTGGAAGTAGGCAAAGTTTGGCCGAACCACTATAAAATCTCGTCTCGCTCTTCTCTTTACTTACTGCTTTAGTTTACTGCTTGCATATCATCCTTTTCATCACTCATCTTATCTTTTCATCAAACTCGTGCAACCCTCTTTTAATAACCTTTCCGCTGTGCTTATCTCACTCAAAAGTGGTGTCAGGGTTTTTCTTGTAAAGAATCTAAAGAAAAACAAGAGTCTATTCACCCCCCCCCCCCCCCTCTAGACTCACCACACAATCTATCGGGACCAACAAGAGCAATGGACAAGATTGAAGGCGTTGAAACTGAAAGATCGCAAAGCAAAAAATTATCTTTTTCAGGCCATCGAATGTCCCATCTTGGAGACAATCCTATGCAAAGATTCTTCCAAGAGTATATGGGACTCCATGCAGAAAAAGTATGAAGGTTCTACAAAAACAAAGAGGCAGCAGCTTCAAGCACTTCGTACAGATCTAGTTCGAAACACTCCGCATGAAGTCAGGAGAGTCAGTTACAGAGTATCTCTCTCGTACAACCACGATTGTCAACAAGATGAGAAATCATGATAGCAAAATAGAGGATTCTGATGTTGTTGAAAAGATTCTTCGATCCATGACACCGAATTTCAATTTTGTTGTGTGCACCATAGAGGAAGCTAACAACGTGGAAAACCTTTCCTTGGATGAATTACAGAGTTCTTTAATGATTCATGAGCAGAAACTTATTCATCAGGAAAATGAAGAACAAGCATTGAAGATCTCAACAGAAAATCATCCATCACCGAGGGGAAATAGAGGACGAGGCAAAGGTAGAGGTAGAGGAAGAGGAGGAAGGCGAGGTGGCCATAATACCTCAACAACCCATAAACCGAGAGACTTGTCAAAGGTTGAGTGTTATCGTTGTCACAAATGTGGCCACTATCAATCAGATTGCCGCACCAATCTGACTAAACCAGACGAAGAAAAAACCAACTTTGTAGAAAAAGAAGAGGAGGTATCTCTTTTGCTAGCGTGTCATGTGAATGAAGAAACTCAACACATGTGGTATTTAGATACCGGATGTAGCAATCACATGTGTGGGGATAAGACGATGTTTTGAGTATCTCCCCTATGGTTTGAAGGGTGTAGTGGAGCTGAAGTTGTATTCTCTCAAAAAATGAGATAACTTGAACTAAACATGAGAATATTATATAACCAAGCAAAGATTCATTAATCTTTAGGGCGTTTTGTTCAAGATATATAATAAAATCAAGGTTATATTTGTTTGGAAATATATAATATTCTCTTGTTTGGTTCAAGTTATGCAATTTTTTCCAAAAATGTAACATAACCTCCACATAAAGTTTTTAGCTATTACATATTTATTACATGGGAATGTGAGATACCCTCCCATTTCTTAGGTATTATCACATTCCCTTGTCTTATTGCAAATTTTGTCATTTTAATTCATTGCCTTAGTTAATTATTGTTCAATCTATTAGTTAATTAATTTTAAATAATTTATTTCTATATTTTACCACTACATTATTTATTTATTTTAATTTTAAAATTTATTAAAAGACATAAAAATAGGTTAATGGTATTCAAGTAAAAATAATCATCATAACATAATAATAAAAAAAAATCTTCAACCAAACAGAGATTGCATTTCTTTATTTGGTTTATTTTCTTGAAAATGAACATATAATAATAATAATAATAATAATAATAATAATAATAATAATAATAATAATAATAATAATAATAATAATAATAATAATAATAATAATAATAATAATAATAATAATAATAATAATAACAATAATAATATGGGGTGATAGTGGCAGTGTGGTGGTAGTGGTGATGGTGGTGGTGGTGGTGGTGGTAGTGTTGGTAGTAGTGGTGTTGGTGCTGATGGAGGTGGTAGTGGTGTGGTAGTAGTAATAGTGGTGTTGGTGCTGATGGAGGTGGTAGTGGTGTGGTAGTAGTAATAGTGGTGTTGGTGGCGGTATACCAGAGTTTTAAACCAAACACAGAAATATAATATTCTCAATAATCTAATATTCCCAATAATTTAACATTCTCTAAGGCTCCCCTCAAGGTTTTAAAGTATATCTAGAAATTTTTAGAGTCTACTCTAATTCAAGAAATCATTTTTGTAGTGGTGAAGTTTGTAAATGTAACATTTTTCATACTACAAACGACATAGACTGTATTCCCCTATCTACAAAAACCACTATATTATACTCCCTCCGTCCCTAAATGATTGTCTCATTTGCTTTTTGCACGATTTTTAATGCAACATAATAAATGTTATTAACTTTCCAATTTTGCCCCCTCAAAAGTAGGTATTATTTGTACAAAGTACAAAGTACAATTGTACTTACCTCTAGAAATTTGAAAAGTCAAAAGGGTAAATTGGGAAATGTAGAGTGATAGTTATGTTCAATTTTGGAAAAATGACAATATTTTGGGACAAACTAAAAAGGAAAGTAAGACAGGTAAAATGAGACAGAGGGAGTATTACTTTGTGTTATTATTTTATAGAATATTGAGAAAAGGGTCAAATACACCCTCCAACTTTAGGTAAGAAGTCAATTAGGCCCTCGAACTTTTTAAAAGTTCAATTAGACACATTAACATATGAATTTAGTGCATTAAGGCCCAAAACCCTAATACTGACCTGCAATAACAAGTTAATAATGTAACGGCGGAACTCCCACAACTTTCCGGTGAAAACATGACCTGCAAGTCGCCGGAACGCCACCCTCAACGACCACTGCCCCTCCTCCCTTTGCAAGATCCAGAAGTTCAGAGTTCAGAATTGAATAGAAACAAGCCATGGCTCTGCAAGATCCAGAAGTTTAGAGTTCTAGCGAGATGGCTGCATACGAATCCGGCGCCACCTGTCACCACGATCCTCAAGCCTTTCTGTTTCAGACCTAGAGGAATCTTCCCGCCCGAATCGAAGGACCTAAGTCCAACGCGGCTCTGGTAGAGAAGCCGGTATAAGTGATCCATCGTCTCTGCTAGCAAGTTAGAGCCGGAGATCGCGTTGTAGCCGTGGCCGCTGACGGAATCGCCATGGATGTAGGGGGCGGGGCTAGACGACGGAAGGAAGGTGAAGATGACGGTGGCTACAGCAATGCCGATGATGAGAAAAACGAGACGCTGCTCGCGGATATACCGAATTGGGCGAATCACATTAAGCCATGGCTTCGGAGGCTTCGGCGTATAACCGTCCATCGCCGGCTGCGCCTCTTGTCCTCTGTAGATCAACTCCGAACTCATAACTTAACAACCATCGATGTTTGCAAATTCTGGATCTTGCAAAGGGAGGAGGGGCGGTACAGTGGTTAAGGGTGCCGTTCCGGCGACCTGCTGGTCATGTGTTCGCCGGAAAGTCGTCGGAGCTCCGCCGGTGTATTATTGACTTGCTATTACAAGTTACTATTAGGTGTTTGGGCCTTGATGCACTAAATTCATATGTTAATGGGTCTAATTGCACCTTTCAAAAGTTCGAGGGCCTAATTGTCTTATTACCTAAAGTTGGAGGATGTATTTGACCCTTTTCCCTAGAATATTTCTATTTTATGAAATCTACTGACTCTATTACATTGTAATATAGCACAAATAAATAAATAATGTCTTGTGTTATGAATTTATGTGGCTTGTGTTGTGAAATTTTGTGTCTATCAACACAAATTATAAACCTAAATCAAATTTGAAAAATAAATTAAATAAATATATAACATGTGTATTTGTACCTTACGAAATTCTGTAATTTGTTTTTTATGAAATTATGTACCTTATGGATATAAATTCTGTATTTGGAATTAATAATACTATATGGTCGACTTGAAGAGGCTATTTTGCCGATCACGTACACCATAACCTTTTCCTAGAATAGATATACAAAAATATGAACTTCGATCAATTCTTATCTGATCTCTTCCTTAACAACCCATCCGCCCACGGCTTCCACCACCGCTACTCAAAGCTAGCGGTGCCATTGCTTTCTTGCTTGCTTTAAGTCTTTAACGCATGAATGAAGCTAAGGAAGCCAAGTCTAAACACATTTCTCCATTCTAAATTTAACCTGAGAATGAAAGAGACAAACACCAACGACGTCACCAACCAGGATATATGCATGCCTCCGATCCTTAGCCTCTTCAAAACCAACACTCTCACCCTCCTCGATCAGCTTCTGCATTATATTGAGAGAAATCCATCCACCAACATACACCCTCAGGCCTCAGCTTAAAATTTTCTTTTCCTTTTCCTCTTTGTAAGAAATGGCCGAAAATCAGGTGGCGCAAAACCCAAGCAACAGCAGCAGCTCCAACACCACCCGCCGTTCCCGCTCTATCTACAGCAGTGATCGGGATTTGGAGTCAGCTTCTTCGCTTTCTTGCCGTATCTGCCTTGACAGTGACACCAGAGAAGGCGACCAACTCATATCTCCTTGCCGCTGTAAAGGCTCCCAAGAGTTCGTCCATAGAGAATGCTTGGACCACTGGAGATCTATCAGAGTGAGCGGGCAATATCATTTTTGTTCCTATTTCACAAGGCTGTTGATAAGTATTTGAGCTTCTTGTCTTCACAATCCACTATTTCCTTCTACTACAGCATGGGTACGCATATTTTTCATCCCTAACTTTCTTTATCAAATTATGTAAAACTACTTTCTTTTATGGTAGAGTAAAAGTCTCACTAATATAATTCTCTTGTTGAAAGGTTGTTATTAATTAGCAGCTTTAATTTTCTATCCAACAGTTTATATTAGTCTGATGATGATGTAAATGAAACAGGAGCACTGGTCTTCCTTATTGGCTTGGGATGTTATTGTTTCTTAAAAACTTGCATCTCCCTTGCTAATTTGGACCAACGTATAGCCGGCTGCCAAAACTTTTGCCTGGCCATGTTGATGTGGAATTGCCTTCCTGCTACAATGTTCATCATTCTTACCATATATGTCTTCATTTTTTGTGGTATTGCTTATGGTTTGTTTCTTGCTACAACATTTGTACATAAGAGTTGGCATCGCCACTACCAAATCCTAGAGAAGCGAAATCTTACAAAGGTTTAATCATTCAACTTTAATACGACTGTCAATTTTTTCAAGAGATGACGCATCATATTCCATTTAAATAATATGTTATTTTTATTTCAATTCTTTCTCTTAAATGTTACAGGTGTACGTAGTGGTGGATCAACATGGCCATTATACCCCACCAACACTAGATCCGAGGCATGAACAACACCTTCGATCTCTTAATCTATTGTAGAGCTGAGGGAAATATTTAATTGATGGCTCCAAATATCTTGCATATGTCATTTGAATGCTTTTTTGGGATGTTGCTCACCGTTGTATATATTTTAATCTTTTACCCAGTGAAATAATTAAATTACATACTTCTTCATTGTTTTAACCTTATTTTACAATACCAACTCATCGTATGGTTTCCCTATTTCTGGATTATACCATCCAGTGAGTTGTTTTCCTCTGACAACATAACCTCTTAATGTGTAGTAAATAGAAAGAAGCAAAAACCAACATCACCCACCACCTATGATGATGCCTTTTAATGACAACTTATTTAATTGACTCAAACTTAGACTCTGCATTTTCCTAATCAGCTTTAAGTGTCATAATATTGACATATTAATTAGGAAGATGCTCATTAATAGTATTGTTTTAAATGCTTTATTAAATGAAATAATAACAATGAGTTAGCATGGCTATTCTAGCTATAAACTAGATTGCAATCCCGGCGTTGCCTACATTCTTATTTTTAATTAATAGTATTGTTTAGTTTATTGATAATCACTTTATTGCTTTCACTTAACAATTTTTTTTTTTTATATTTTATTATTATAACGAAGTAGCTAGTAGTTGTTGGTGGTGATGGTGTTGTTGAATTTATTTATTTATTTAATATGTTTTTGTTTTTAGAAAATATATTATACACTTAAAGGTCATTTTACATGTAATAAGCTAACAACTAATTTACCAAACATTCTTCCAAAAATGTTATAAGCTAGTCAAACCCATTAACCCAATCTGCTAACAGCTATTTGCCAAACACATCCTTTCTATCATTTTCAAACTTTTCAAAATAGCTCTAACTGAGCTTGAATTTGGAAATCATAGTTTTATAACAAAGCTTGAAAACAAGTTTCCTCACAACGTAAGTCTTTAGCTTGCCTTAGAAAGAGTAGCTAAGGTTTGAACGAATAAATGTGATTGAGTGTGTGTCAAATATGGGGTTAGTTCGCAGGTTAATAAGCAAGTAAGTACCTAAAGTAAAATGACAAATGTTTTTATAATGGTTCAAAAACTTTCATACTCCACTCTTCTCCTTTAACTCCAAAGAGGTTCCAGTAATTATTGTTTTGAATACAAAGTAATTAAGAAGCCTTAGCTTCTACGGATGATAGTCCGCAAAATAGGGGTCAACTACAATGTCACTCCACTCTTCCTATTATAGTACTATCCAATCAGAGCTAGCCAAGGGTCGTCCATTAAGTCTCCTTGCTAGGTTGATCTCAGATAGTTGTTGGTTTGTTGAATGTTGGACTTGAAAATCCTAAAGATTTCACTTCAGCTAGAGAGCTTGGACACTTTGAATAATTGCACTTAGAATTTTTATCACACCATCATCTTCTCTCTTACCTCAGAGTTCGATCTCCTTTTATAAACAAGGAGAGATGAGTGTCAACTTTGATTTTTAATCTCCCCGCTCTCACTCAGCAAGTGGTAGCCATCCAAAAGTTGCCACAATCCCTTAAAATCGACTGTCATTTGATAACTTTTGCAGCTTATGTTAGAGTATACACACAAATTTGAACACATGTGATAACCTAACCTCATAGCGGAAGCATAATGATCAAGCAAAACTGTGACACCCCGAAATCCAAATTCAACTTAGGGGTTAATTGAGTAATTAATCCTATTTCAATTGGTGATTTAATTCCTAAAATCCTGAAAATTCAATAGTCGGGGACTAGTAATTGACTAGTCAACCCCATAGTCAAAGTTGTACCTTAAGCTTTGTAAGGAGTTCCCTTGTTCCCTTACACTTCCTTATGTTAGTAAGGGTATTCTTGACCTTTCACTTGGTGTTAGTATTGTAACCTAACCTAGTAGACCACCTTCATTCTTTCCTTACACTTTCTAAAAATCTAGCTCCACCTTCTCTCTAAAAAGGTAGATAGCTTTTCTTCTAAGCCAAGTTGGAGCCTTGCCAAAACTTCAAGAGTTGCTTCCAAGATTCAACCTTTCATATATTTGGGCATCTAGGAGGGTAAGATCTAATTAAGTTCATCTTGTGTTTTTAGTATTATCTAAGGTGTCTTTTCTTAAAGATAGGATCTTTATGATCTTTTGGTATGTTCTTGAAGTGGGTTTGGAAGGTGAGCCTTGTGAGGAGCTTGTTGAGGTGTAAAGTGAAGTCTTTAGTTTACAAGAGGTAACCCATGCTCTACAAAATCTATTTTGCTTACCTATGTGAATATTTCTTGGATTTTACATGTGTTGCTATGAAATGTGAGTGTTTATGCATTGTCTTGTGAAAATGCATATCTAGAGCTTGTGTTTAGGGTTCTTGTATGCCATTGCTTGGCTATTCCTTTGATTCAAGTCATTTTGTTGTATTGGGTGAGATTTGGCATGTTTTGGACTTGAATTTGAGCTTGGAGTTGAAAATCCCCGAAGGGATTATTTGTGCAGGTATACGTACCCGCGGGCGAAACGACGGGTAGAGCTCCAACCCGCCGCCCACCCGCGGGGAACATATGGCCGGTGGGTAGTGTACCCGCGGGCGGAACCACGGGTGGGAGCCTACCCGTGGGGAACACTTTGGTGTTGGATCGGAATTTAATCCCCGTGATTCTTTTGACTCGGTATTTGGTCTTTTAACTTTCCGTTGTTCTTTTGTGGAACTATTTGAGTGTCTTCTTGATGTTTCGTATGTCTAGAACTATATGGTAGGTATCCATGTAGGTTTCGGTGTCTTGAATCGTTCTAAGTGTTCAACATTGTGTTTCGTTGAACCGTGATGAGTCTTGTGTGTTGTTCGGAACTACTTTCGGTTTACCCATTTGATAAGCATGCTAGTTCGGTGTTTAAATGCTAGCATGTGTGTTGTTTGTACCTTCTTATGGGTTAATGATAACTTTAGTTATTCATCGTTGTTGTTGTTGGACTGTGATCCATTCATTGATTGAGTATGGTTTCATATATTCGTTGTGATCCGTTGATTGATTCCTGTTGAGGTGTGATGTGTGTGGCTTTACCTGGATTGCACGATTAGTGGTATGGGACACTAGTCACCAAAGTATTGCAGTGGTCCTCGTGGTGGCCATGACATGATTATGGAGTTGTGACCTTTGTGTAAGGTTCACGTGATTCTTGGGTGGCATGTGTTGCCGTATGTGTGATCGGTACCCTCGTGTACTATGAAATCGGTGGTTCTGTTGGAGGGACTGTTGGAGGGGGAACGACAGTTTCCAGAGGAATAAGGTTGGACTTGGTGTACAGGAGTCCTGGAGGTAAAGGTTGGAACTAGATATAAGGTTGGGGGTAGCCATAAGGTTGGAACCGGGCATAAGGAAGACATATCAACTCGTGATGGGTGATGTCACGAGGGCTTGTGTAGCCGTTGTTGTGAGTTCTCTTCTTGTGACGTGTGTAGTCACAAAGGCATGTGTTGCCTAGGCATGTGTTGCCATTGGTCTTGTCTCTATCCTTTTGAGTTGTTGTTGTCCTTGTGGTCTTGGGATGTGTTCCCGTGTTCTTGTTGAGAGCCTGAGTCTTGTGTTGACTATTACTCCTGGTTTTGTACTTATATACTTATGTATTCCGTTTCGAAAATGGCTTTACAACTTATATATTACCTATGTATGTTTTTTCACATGTATTGGTGGGTTACCAGCATTATTCGCTGACCGGGCGTCGTCCCATGTTTATTGTGTTCTTTCAGGTGATGTCTAGGCGAGTGCACGGTCTAGTACTTGCTAGTATAGCTTCTCCATTTCGTTTTGTGGCCTGTGTGCCAGTTTAGATGTAGAACAATGAGACAATGGGTTTAGATTTAAACATTGTTGATGTTGTCTGTGCGTTCATCTCTTTGGTGAACGTGGCATAGCACCCCGTATTCCAGTTTATTCATATACATCTATCTTTCAGTCTTCCGCTGTGATTGTTGTTTGGTTTAGTTATCTGCATGTTTAAGGCTTTAAAATAGCATGTTTTTAGGGGGTGTTACAAAAACTCCAGCCATAGTTTGATACCTTTGTGTATTGCGTTGTGAATAATCATAGTAGAAATTTCTGCAGAGTAACGATGTCTCCGACTTGGTCTCCGGACAATATAGATGGTGTATTTCAGGTGTTCTGGAGCAGTGGCAGGACCTATACTTTTATAGCCTTATATACCATCAATATAGGCTTTGTAACGGAAAACGTTATTTCCGTTACAACATTAATGCTACCACTTAATAGTCATAAAATGCTAAATTAAACTTGCACCACATTAATGTGACTTAATGAAATATTGTTTACAGTTTATCGATAGGGTAATGACAGTTTTCCTTTTTAGCTTATAAGCACTTCAAAAGTAAAAAATGAGTTGTTCCTGCACTAATCTATCTTGTCTATAGACTTCTAAGTGTCATGCAAGTTGCATCCTTCAAATGACTCTTTTTGTTCTTCCTTGAATGATCTCCTTCCAAAGTTGATCTTCCTTAAATCATTCTTCAATGAGTCTCCAACATGCTTGGAATACCGTGGAGATTCTCTTTCATCATCTAAGAATACCTGTCAAGATTTCTTCTGGTCTTAGACTTTTACCGATCCCCTAAACTTCCTACCAACCTAACTCCTTCCGCTTGTTTCCTTCTGAATCTCTTCCTTTCGAAGCCTCCCTTTAGGATGCTTCCATCCGAAACTGCTTCCTTCTAGTAAGTCCATCTACATAACTTATCTAAATTTACAAGCAAAGAATGAGGGGTCATAAGTGTTTAAATAGTGCTCTTTATATCATCAAAATCTATTACAAATATTCGTAACAAATAAACTTCTAAAAACTTTCTAAAAATATGCATCAAATACTACACATTGTAAAGACTCTATAATAGTATAGTATAGATTGAATACCACCTAACGTTTATGGCATGTTTGGTTCATGGAATAGGTCAGGAATGAAATAACATTCCTTGGAATAGACCTATTCCAATGTTTGGTTGGGTCATTTTGTCATGGGAATAACATTCCTAGGAATAAGCTATTACCTTTTTAAATGGAATAGCCATTCCTAGGGGGGCCTTGGTATTAGCTATTCCCGTGCTCTTGGGAATAGCTTTTATATCACAAATAACAAAAATACCCTTTGCACATTATTTAATATTTATATTTAATAAATATAATGTATTATATAAATGTATATATTTAATTAATTATAATTTTTATCTATCAATAAATATATATGTAAATAAATTATATATATATATATATATATATATATATACATACACACACACATTTTGCAACGTTTGCAATTGGCATCTTGGAAAAAGAAAAGTCTTTCCCCAAAACGCCCTTGACATTTATATTTATATATTTACATTTATATAGTGCGTAAAGTTTTTGTTTATGTAGTCAACAATCATACCGTGTTTTACTGGAGTAATAATAATAATAATAATAATAATAATAATAATAATAATGATGATAATAATAATAATAATAATAATAATAATAATAATATAATAATAATAATAATAATTATTATTATTATTATTATTATTATTATAATTATAATTATAATAATAATAATAATAATAATAATAATAATATTTTGTACAGGGGTATTTATGTCTTTTTATTTTTATTCCTTAACCAACCAAACATTGGAATACAATTCCTAAAATTTATTCCTTCAGCGAACCAAACAAGAGAATACAATTCCTATTCTATTACTTACATATTTCATTCCTTACGGAATAGTTCCCATGCCATTCCCTCCAAATCCAAATTAATTAAATTGAATACACCCCCTTAGTTAAGTTTTACTAACTCATCCATACAAATCTAGATTGAGTA